AGGAGGAGAAGGAGAAGAAGGAGGAGGAGGAGGAGGAGGAGGAGAGGAGGAGGAGGAGGAGGAGATTGAGTTTATACCCCGCCCTTCACTACCCAGAGGAGTCTCAGAGTGGCTTACAGACTCCTTTCCCTTCCCTCCCCCCTCCCCCCACAACAGACAGACACCCTGTGAGGGAGGTGGGGCTGAGAGAGCTCTGACAGAAACTGCTCTTTTTCAAGGACAGCTCTTATCGGAACTACGGCTTGCCCAAGGTCATCCAGCAGCTGCGGGTGGAGGAGCGGGGAATCAAACCCGGCTCTCCCAGATTAGAGTCTGCGCACTTAAACCACAACGCCAAACTGAGAGGAGGGTGTAGGCAGAGGGTAGCCACATTTGGGGCGGAAGTGGGGTCGCCAGGTCCCCTCATTGTGCCAGTGGGGGGGATTTGGGGGGCATTCCGGGATGTCCACGACGCGATGACGTAATCTGGAAGTGACATCATCGTGTCAGGGATGTCACATGGCAACACTGAGGTTTGATGTGACCAAAGGGCACGGCGGCCATCAGAATGAGTGAAGAGTTGGTGCGGAAGGAGAAGAGGGCCCAGTGCCACGGAGCCCTTTGGGCTTCCCCCGGAGACGTCCGAGGCAAAACCCACTCGAATTGTGCTTTGTACCCAGGGGGGCTCTCCAACCCTGCTCCGGGGACAAGAATTGGCAGGTCTGAGCGGGTCTGTCCACATGTTCTAGAACCTCCTTGAGGCCCAGACAGTAGCAGACCTTGCCCAGCTGTATCGTTCTGCCCAGGTGGGTCCGACGCCTGTCCCGCCCGTCCTCTGAAGATCTCAGAGCGGTGTGCACGGCACTGCTGCTCTAGGTGTCAGGGCGCTGGCCTAGGAGCTGGGAGAGCCAGGTTCGGATCTTCCCTCTGCCCTGGAGGTTCACTGGGTGACCTTGGGCCAGTCATACTCTTTCAGCCAGGCCTACCTCACAGGGCTGTTGTGAGAATAAAATAGGGAGGAGAGGAGGAGAAGGTAAGCTGATTTGTTTCCCCATTAGGGAGAAAGGCCGGGTATAAATGAAGAGGAAGAGAGGGAGGGAGGGAGGGAAGGAAAGAAGGAAAGAAGGAAAGAAGGAAAGAAGGAAAGAAGGAAAGAAAGTTGGAGGGAGAAAGGCTGGGGAAAGAAAGAAAGAAAGAAAGAAAGAAAGAAAGAAAGAAAGAAAGAAAGAAAGAAAGAAAGAAAGAAAGAAAGAGAAAGGCCGGGTATAAATGGGAAGGGAGGCAGGGAGGGAGGGAGGGAGGGAGGGTCACCCTGCACTCACTTCCCTGATGCCAAGCTTCAGAAGTGGAGCTACGTCACATGCCTAATCCGGCCCATTGCCTCGTCCTAGAAACACCCACACCAGTTCGGGGTTCTGGACTCCTCCACGCCCCCCCCCCCCGCCACCATGTCATGATCGTGACCTTTTCAGCCCAAAGCAGTGCGCGGCGCTCAGGACCCAGCGCGAGTTGATGAGGGTCCCTCCACACCAGTGCCGGTATCCATCTCCATCGACTTCGGGCAGCTGGATGCTGACGAGCCAGGGCCACGTGCCCGGCGGAAGCCCCTCCGTTTGCACTCGACTACCATGACCGGGAGTCGTCAGACGTCTTCCACACGGTCCCCTGGGAACAGAGACTAGTTCAGGACCAAGAACATCACAGGAAGGGCCCCTGCTGGATCAGGCCCAAGGCCACCTAGTCCAGCATTCTGCTCACGCACAGGGGCCGACCAGCTGCCTCCTGGAAGCCCACTGATGGGAGGACGGCAACAGCACCCTCCCGCCCCCTGGGCTCCCCGGCAACGGGTACAGAGAGGCCTCCGATGCCCCCGGTATTGGAGGAAGCCGACGTCCACCATGACTAGCAGCCCTTGATAGGCTCCCAGCAATCCACATGTGGCACACACAGTCCACATAGGATGCAACTATTATTACCGTATATTGTATAAGGAGCTGCGGTGGCTCAGTGGTTAAGAAACTGAACTGCAGACCGGAAGGTCTGTAGTTTGGCAGTTCGAGACCTGAGTGCCGCATGACGGAGTGAGCTCCCGTTTCTGGCCCCGGCTCCTGCCAACCTAGCAGTTCGAAAGCAAGAAATTACAGGGAGTTATATAGGTACCGCTTCGGTGGGAAGGGAACAGCGTTCTGTGCACCTCAGTGTCTAGTCATGCTAGCCACATGACCACGGAAACGTCTTCAGACAGTGCAGACAACAGAGATGAGCACCGCAACCCTAGAGTCGGATTCGACTGGCTTTCGATCAAGGGAAACCTTTACCTTTACCTATTATTATTGTGCCATCTGCTGTTTTGTTGGTTTTACTGCTTGGTTTTATTAATCTTGTGTTGTAAGCTGCCCGGAGCCACCTCGTGGGATAGGGCAGGGTATACATTAAATAAATAATAATAATAATAACTAGGAGTAAGAAGTTTG